AGAATAGGTTCCCGACAATCCATGTTGGTCGTTAAAGGCGACCGAATGGATCGAGTAATCAGGCTTGGTGACTTGGTTGGCTGCGTCTCATCTCACCCCGACAGCGTGGATCGTTGCTCGCAATACCAACCACTTGATTGTCTGTTTAAAGTCCATTATTCCTTTCAAATCGGTCTGTAACACATGAACCTGCCGACGTCAATATGCTAGTTCGTAGTCTAAGGTTGGTCGTTTAATGTGCTCAATCATCAAAGTATATCCTCACTCGTGAGGCCAGATCAAGCATTCAATCGCCTCATACAAGCACTGATTACTGTAAGCCTTGTCTTAAGTGGGTGAACAATTACCTTGTAAATACCCCAGCAGCTGCAACACTGCGGTGTATATATAGCCAATTCCCCAGCGGGGATACAAATGTCTTTGCTGACCTACAGATAAACATAGGCGATATGTAACAACATAGCCTGGTGATGTAGTGAGACGTTTGAGAAAGGAAGGATAGAACGATGTAATAAGCTCTCTGTCAGAGGAGACCCCTGAAGATCCGGGTTAGAATTCACCTTCGGCAATTGGATTAATTGATCCAGATTCGGTTGTTAACAGAGAAAAACCTTCCGATACATGTAAATGCCACCACTATCCTGTCTTGCAAACGTCACCCCAACCACTCTCTTTGCGACAAAGATTAACTTCTTCCCATTGAACACACGATGTTTAAACTATCCAATACCTATAGCGATATTGCGAAAATCTTCTTACACTTTGCACACACGCAATCCCATGTTTACTAGTGTCTATTATTACTTAAAATGAAGCTTAACATGCTACAGTTCCATTCCAGTCTTGTATCCTATTCCTAACCCAACATTTCCAAAGGTTCAGTCAGATGTATCCCTCAGACACTCATATCCCTATCACATGTTTTGTGATTTATTTATTCTATACTACAATATATGAAAATGCGAGTAATTATGCACAATTTTTAACAAATTCTAATAAATATTGTCTGTGCAATGATTGTCGATGGTTGAGGTATTCGTGAAGGTGACGGATGTTTCTGGCACCTGGATGACGGAATTCCCGAGGCCTTTGAGAAGAAAACAAGTCGTGGACACACCAATAAGGATGTGTGATGATGGTGACCAGTGCAGCTGGTGATGACTTAAGGGAGACACTTGTCTGACCGCGAACGTCTTGATATTGATTAGCTTGCTTAGTTCGTGATGCTCTTTTTTAACTTTGGTTATTCTTGGAAACAACCTGCAACCTGGTGTGAATAAAAGTAGAGTTTAGGACATAGTTTCTCTTCACATTTTAGTTTGAGTACCATCTAGATTGAGAATTGCAACTCAAAGATCTTAATAGTCTACTTCGTTGATACTGACTCGCCTTGTAACAATCTTCATTTTGTTTGGAGTTTGATTTGCCCCCATCATATCAATTACTGTCAGCAAAGTACCCGTACTCGTCGACATTCGTCTTTGCACAAAACCCACGCACCCTGATGACGATTTGTTGTTGTTTAGAATAGAGTGAGTGAGTTAATATTTAACGTCACATCGTCATATCGGCAATATTTCAGCCATATCGTGACGAGTTTAGAATATATATATATATATATATTCAGATATATATTCAAGATATTCGTGCTTGTCAAAACTCCTTATCTTTCGCCGTTCAGCGGCTCTTCGGGTGTAATGAAAACTTTAACTTATTGCAGTCCTAGGCGAATATGTGTGTACACACACACACACACACACACACACACACCAAGAATAGATGTTTCCAATGTGTACCAATTAATGACAAATCTAACAATCAGTGAAGTGTTAGCACACAGTGACTTGAATGTGACACGATATGTGACGCATTCACGAGCGTCGGTTCACACAACATACCAGTGTGTTCGTTTGTGCTTCGAACCAATCTATACATTCAGTGAGTCTACTTGAACTGTTTGATACCTTGATACGGAGTAGGATACCTTCATTTTAACAATCAGAAAAAATAAAGAGCTGACAATCAAGAATATTGCGAAAGACAATTATCACACAAATATTGTCTTCGGTGCGGTCTGGCCAATAAGAGTAATAACAGAGATGTTTACGCTTACGTTCACTAATTGGATCAGTAAACTGAAATATGACAAAAAATGCATTTTTTCCCTGAGAACCTCTTGAGTATGTTTACAAAAACGTTGATGTGAATCATACAAAAACGATGGGATCGGCTACGCGTTATTATATTTCTTGGCACAAACCCATGAAGAAAACCGCACAAATTACAGTGTTGGTGCCTGAAAGAATACACAAAGAACATGGTGATTCCACATGATGTACACGTAGTACGTATAATATGTGTATGATTGATACAACACGAACGTTATGATTGAAAGCAAGGATTAAGGGTTTGCCTAAAAGACTGATCGACCATAGCTATTTAGCTGTTATTCCACGTAACGACCGTGCAAACAACCAACTGTTGTATCCTATGCCTATTACATGTCTCAACACTCGTGTTCACTCCATGCGTAGTTTATGAATAGATTGTTGTTTTGTCAATGAGGCAGACTGCCCCAAACGGACACGGTTATTAATAGGTGCTGATTTCTATACATTGAAATGATATAAGTGGATGGGTGGTGTTGCAGCTATATCAAAGGGACATTGTAGTGTTTGGACCAGACAGATCAGAGTTTGAGATTAATGAGGATTTATCCACGGTGTCGGGGCGTGCTGACATCAGCCAATTCACAAATTGTGACCAATAAACACGCGATATTAGCAACCTTCTCTCAATAATTACCATCTGATTTGTACCGGCCTATAAACTTCACAGTGGGCACGGGTGGCCCAGTCGTCTGAGGCGCCTCAATTCGCTGTGCAGAGTTGCGTCCCTTGGGCATACCAGAAACCTATAGGAACCTTGTGGGTTCAAATCTGGTTCGCCCAGGTTATGTTTCTAGGTTTGTCAGCACCATACCGGTACACGTGGGTTTCACCAAAGTGGTAAACGTGTGAGACCTCCATCACTTTGGGCTTTCCTCCCACATTAAGCTGCGACGCCGTGCTATAACTGTAATACTGTTTTAAGCGTCGTTAAACCAAACTCACTCACTCACGCACTCCAACATCACAGCAAAAGATCCCGTTATCTTATTTATTATGTGAACGTAGCATGCTTCAAACAATAAAGAATCAGCATCATACATCCGCCACGAAAGTCCCAATGGTCTAAGACAAAGAGCGAAGAGTGACATCCCGTTGCTGTCAAACACCGCCTAAGTTGTGACCCTGGTTTGTCGGTGAAAGGTTTCACTAAGAGATAAACTTGAGTGCTGAGTCACTACTGGCTCCCCTGTTACATTTATCTGACACGTCGTGATACAACTGAAATACAGATAAAGCATCCATAAAACCATTCTTACTCTCTCATGACATATGAGTTGGGGTATGTCACCACACTTAATACCAGCACGTCAGTACCATCGCAGCGCCAGTCCCAACTTCCAATATCAAGACAACTGAGTTTTGTTGCCACTTTTAGCAATATTTCAGCAATATCACAGCGGACAAAGAAATGGATTTCGCACATTGTACCCATGTGGGGAATCGAACCTAGGTCTTCGGCGTGACGACCGAACACTTTAACCATTAGGGTACCCCCCGTCAGCTAAATGTGATCGTCGAGTCAAAATTGACGCAGTTTGTAGGCATTAACACTTTTGTGAGTGAGTGAGTGAGTTAAAATTTAATTTTAAATCGGCATTATTTCAGCCATTTAGCGACGAGACCAAGTAAATATATTTACAATTTAGTTATTTATGCAAAGTTTTATTTAAAAACAAGCTGTGAAACATATTTGAGCATACTATAATTGGAAACAATATATGAAACATATCTGAACATAAAAATATGATGTATACAGTTTTAAAACACGGGCTATAGGCCACCAGTAACCAAAGCTAGGCCACCTCACTGGGGAAATGGGGACTTACAGTACCTCTGCTTCCTGCATGATACCACAGCAGGATTTACGTCATCACTTTAGCTACTGGTGATTGTGCAAAATACTAGCCAATATTAAAAAATACTCAGCAATGAGTTGGCTTAAAAACACTGGTTGATGATAGTAACATCGATTATGAAAGGATAACATGTCACACAGGGGGACAATGAACACTATTGTGAAGCCAACGAGTACAGTATGTCGCTGACAGACAGATAAGCATTATCAGGACGAATCATCGGGTCCTACCATGACTAAGGGACGCAACGGTTTACAACGATTCGTGCGCCATAGTTGTTGAAGGATTCAGTGTCCCATGTCATGAACGTACATATAAAACGTTGGCACCAGAGAATAGTCTCGTGTATATGCCAAATCAGATTCCACTGAACCTAAACAGCAAATAGTGGTGAAAATTATAGGAATGGATTACTGAAAATCAGCAATGATACCAGGCGTTTGCGAAAAGGGTAAACATGTCCTACCCTACCCGGACCAAGATAGCACCCACCACTTCAACAATTTAAAGGAATAATAATTTTAAAAGAAAGAGTTTGTTGCCTCTCGCCGCACAACAGTATTTCTGTCATACGGCGGCATGAAGCAATGGACACGTTGAATCGATCTGAATATCACTTATGCATGTTCGAAATGCGCACATAGCACTTTAAACGAAGCTTTATTTTATCTCTTTTCCAAACGCACTATTTTCCGTGCAAATCATCAATAAATGTAACAAGTGTTTTCTTACATTATTCCAGATTCCATATGTAATAAGTTGGCGGGCCGAACCGACTTTGGGGCAATCCCAGAAATTACTGGCAGCATACTGAAGCGGTTTGCTAGTTAATTCACCATGATTAAAATCAAGGTTTGTTGGCTCGTGTAATCCGCGATGTAAATTGGTTTCATATTAAAAAAGCCAATTTCTCCAAAGATCTCAGCAAACGTTGTTTACTGGATTATTTTGACTTAGTGAATCGATGCGGACACTGTGAGGGTTGCTCAAGCTTTTCCCGACTACCTCAGGATCGGTCATACATAAATAACCAACACACGACGAACATTGATCCAACGACGGAAGAAAATGCTCACGTCAGCAGAATTGGCGAGTATAAAGAGAGACTATTGAAATTTCCTCCATTTCAAATACCGGTGGTTGAGTACAGAACAAGTTGTAAAAAATCAGATGAAGAGGACACAAAACAGGCTTTGACAAACTTTCCCTCGAGATGAGCACCACGAGCAGACTTCGATCATCGGTGAAACCTGAGCCCCGTAATTAGCGCTACGTCGTTGTAATACACGCTTACCTTCGCCATCCAAGGCGGAGCCAACGCACGCGCAGAGGGTGTAAGATTGACAGGTAGGCCAGGCAGACAGCTGTTCAGCATTGAGAGTTTGCAGTGTGCAGAAGGATAAGTAATCAGAGATAGCGGGTTACCTTGTGGAGGATATGCTGTCGGCGTTATTCAGCCCAGGGCGCGATCCGGTTCATGAGAAACTCTCCATACTTCAAACCTTGTTCTGAAACAAGAAGCAGTGCTCGTGGAGCTATTATTTTCTCTCTGCCTCTCTCCGCGTCTGTGTCCGAATATAAAAAAAATACAGTTCCCGACAGAGAGAAAATATTATTCCAGTTTTAAAATTTAATAACGAAAGTCTACATTTGTGAAAAGATCGAAGACTTGAGTCAGACCAACTCACGATGAGGATAAGCCTACGGTCCGTTGACTGGATATATCTTCATTTGATTACAGTGATTGTGGTGTGCGGCTTTGGCATTGTTGGCTCAGTGGACAACAACAAGAAAAGGTGAGTGAGAATATTTTGGAAGACAGCCATGCATGCACACATTGCAGGGTGAAGTAAAGGACACGTGCCAGAAAGGTCTGAGCGTGTGTTGATAGATCCTCACTGGCTCTTTCGGAATTTTGCCTGAACGTATATCAGTTGTAATGTCGAGGCTTAATATATTTGCACTTTATCATTCATACTTCTAACAAAAGTAACACATTGATGTTAATCCTGAAGTTTCATCTCTGTTTGACTAACTTTCACCATGGTACTTATTTATTTCAAAATATGAACCTTAGGTAAGTTAATTATATCTTTTTGTACCGTAACGGAAGATTAAAGGCCTCTATGCAACAGTTAAGTCACAGACCACAGCGACCTTCAATTTTATCTTCATTATTATCAGAATACACAATCTCACCACATCTTTTTTCTACACATGTGACTAATCTCAGATTAATGTTTCATTGTATTATTATCATTTTATTAATGTACTGTTGGTAAACAGTGTCCTATTGTTAGGGTGGCTTGTGTATATTAACCTTAATCGTTTAGTCGAATACAGTGAATGATTCAAATGCAGCAGTTTATATTTTAATATCGTTTATCAGCAATACATATCATGTGTGTTTATTAGTGTAAAGATGGAACAGACGTCTTCTATCACGCATAACTAGACGCACATGGAGTCGAAAGAAAGCGTATACTAAAGCAATGATATATCGATTGTATAAAATGTGTCTACTTGCGTGTGCATCATTGAGAGAAATAAAGTGAACTGACCAGACGCCAGAAATAAGAAGGGTTGTATGTATTATACTCATATCGGAGATCGAACCTGGGTCCTTAGGCTTAACGATTGAACGCTTTAACCACTAGCCCCACATTTCCCAAAGGCTCTAAGATACGAACAGCATTCATTTCAGGCGTGAGAGGATTATTTGTACAAATCAAGTCAATTTGCCTTGCCAATACATGCCAGTTTCACTCGCGTGGGTGGTAACACTGTGAAACAGTTGATCCACATAAATTCATTAAAAAAACTCTTCACAAAACAACTTGAATAAGGCAACCGCTTTCCTATTTTTTTGTTAAATTACTTTTGATTAAATCTTCACTTACGAACACCTGGTATCATTACTATTTGATAGTGATTCATAAACACATGCTCATGATATAGTCGGAATCGTACAATCGACTCTTCTTTGTGCAGAGATTTCTATTGGATATGGAAATGGTTTTGACTCCTTACTTATATAAACATCTTGTAAAATTCTAGCGACATAATGCCACCAGCTATGTTCTATAAGGTTCAGTGAGTGTGTTGCAGAAAACCGGACATACGCGGTAAAATGCTGTTCCTGCCATAACAACGTGCATGCTATTGATTAAATAGTCCCAGTGTTTATCACTTAAGTGAATCTTCCCATACACAACGCGCTTCCTCCTTCCCCAGTAACTTAATTTAATGGCCATCCCCATAATCACGTTCTGCTAATTTTGATAACTCCTCATTATGTGCAAAGTGTTTCCTTTGAAGGTGAATCTAGACACGGAAGTGGCCACGTTCCCCAGTGTAACATAGCCTGGTTCCAGCAAGCTGTGTGCCTGTGTGTGCAGACTATTATTATCGCTCCAATCATCGACTGTGTTTATGACAGTTTTGCTCAGCATAAACCTAGCCAAGCTCTGGCGCGGCCGAACCATCAACCAAATGACCCTAAGAATCCTGCAGTCTTGCCCACAACAAGGAAAGGGAAGATGGTAGACATTTAGTATAAGTGTCTCAGTAATGCTAAAGAAAACATTGCTTTCTGACCCATGCCGATGGAAGAGATTGGAAAGGTGAACCACCTTAGGGATTCCTTCCTAAGATTAAGTCCTAATGAGAACATTACTCGCCGTAAGCCTTGGCTAGGGGCCTGGACCTAGCAGATGCCATTTAACATCATGTCGGTTTGAGATAACGTCTAAGTGTTGAGCGTTATCTAAGGCAATCGGTAGTGTAAGAGACACATATATATTTATGTATCAGTTTCATTGTCACACTTAAATGCCAATTGATACTAACATCCTTCGTGGTCTTCTCCCTTGCAGTTAGCAGCGTAGCTACTTCATCTTGCCACTGGCCATACCAATAACAATAAATAGGTCCCATCATTCTGGCCTATATGAGGCACGGCAACACGCTGGGTGTTAGTTCCAATTCTAGATTCTCCCCATTCAGAATACTTGATCTGTGCAAAGAAATAATGTGCTCGAGGATTGCATCAAATCTTTAAACGTCTACGAGTACATTGATACTACATTTATGTGTGTTTTACACCTCTATTAGCAATATTCCAATAAAATCACGGCGGAGGAATTACTCTTTGAATGTCATTGCTCACTGTTGTAACTGTAGGCGTCATCACGGTCAACGGAGTTCTGTGCGGTTGTTTTAAACGCTGGACTACCACACAATTGCCTAAAACGATTTACGTCACTTGGAGATAACAGACGAGCTAAAAGTACATATTATTCTGAATATAAACATTAACTCCACTCATTTATCCCTAGCATTTGTTTCACAAACTCAAGTTGACATGTCATCACAGATGTTGGCATTAACACTATTGCTCGGAATGACAGAATATGTCCAAAGACGTTGTTTTATATGTGGGAATTTTCCTATTTGAATCTTATATACATTTTAAAAAGTCGCATGTTGAATATTTCTCGTTGTATTGTGAAGCAATATTCATATTAACCATCTTCGCTTCGCAGGAGGATAATGTTTTTATGGACATTGATATTCAGGATTATTTGTTTTTTTTATTTTGTGTTCAGTATTCACATCAAACAGAGCCGCCCGTACCTTTGGGAATACATTTCTTAGAAGACTTATTTAGTGTTATAACACAGACAAAATTGTATTGTATTGTGAGATGCATGTGGGCTATTACAAAGCATCGAGGCTCACTGAAACATTGAATCATTTATCTTCGAGGCTTGTCTGCAGACCGCTCTCTATGGTCTCCATGCCAAAGCTTCAGCTTAGACTGAAGGCCAGAAATATGCATATTCCACGTCTCTGTGGTCTCGTTGTGTATACATGAATATATCAAATGATGACATGATGTAGAAGCATGTGCTTGTTGTTAAGTTTGGAGAAATGCAAATTGCAAAAATATCGACTTTTTTCTTCTCTTTTAAACTCTTTACATTGGTTTGTACTCCCATTAAGGTTCTTGTCCTTAAACAACCCTTAATAGGCCCAAACACCAGCAGAGGATTTACACATAACCTGATGTTTCGTCAAATCTCTATCCCCGTGGTTAGGAGATGAAACTACGGGAATAGAGAGGAATAACAAATAAATTAGTACGTAAAAGAGAAATTGTTATTTAAAAAATAAAAAGTCAAAGACTTTAGGGTGTTCATACTCGTAAGAAAGTCTATAGCTGCAATTTCATAGAATCTTCCACTCTCGAATCATCACATTTTTTATGGGGCCTTTGGGAGATTGCTTAACGGATGAGCAAGCACGACCCTGTCGTTATGATTAAAGGATCAAAGACAAGTCGTCCTAGAACCTCATAAAAATAGATAGAAGACCTGAAGCAAAACAAGTAATTTGGAATAAAGTCAGCTTATCTCAAGGCAGCAGTTTTTGTATGCATAATACATAATACATATACATGTATACAGAATCCGCTCTGCTCATAACAATGCTGTTTGAGTTATCCAGGTTCAAAGCTCTAAAGCAGAATGATCTAATTGTTTTCCTTACTGGAGACTTTGGTGAGATATGAAGCATTAATGAGACTAACGCCAGAAGACACATCGACCTGTGTAGATATGTGCCATGTATGAGTTTACCGGTGGAAAGACGCGTTTGAGAACCTCTGAGTCAACGTGGGATTGAACCGCAATGCTAAAATACTCGACTGCCAATTGCTATAACATTCTGTTTCCTCAAATGGACACGTTCACAATCTTTGATGTTATTGTACAATCATTTGTAATTACATCCAACATGCTCTCCGCATCAGTATGGGTTAAATATGCAAATAATTAATTGACTTTTCTAATATTTGAAGTTTGTAAACGGCATTACTGGAGGGTTTATGGATATCCCATTACTGTTTTTCGTGGTTCATTATAAAGAGATGATCGTCTCAAGTTCGACATATGTGTATATTACAAGTATATGATATATTTTTATAACCTTAATTGAATTTGTATGCCAATCATATTACACACATCGCTGTTATAAGAGTTGTCAGTTCATTGCATGAGAAAAAGATGATAGCCATGAAAACACACTGCATTATGTTTTACTTCTGTGCAAAAAACTATAAGTGGGGTTAGTGCGTGTATTCTTCAAAAACACGTTGAGAGTTGATGTGTCTGTTTAATCATTACACGGGTCTGTTCTTACTTGTATCCTGCATATATGGTCAATAAGTCAAAGGTCTAATTTAATTAGTGCACAATTAATCATTCGACTATGCCTGGTCTTTTCTTATAACAAGAACATGCACGAATTCTAGGCTGGAGGTGCACCAATGTTTCACAAGTTCACACCGTTCATTTTCATTATATGGACATGTAGTCAATGTGCTTTGGTCTTAGAATCGGACAAAGGTTTCACAGAAGGTGCCACGTGGTTACTGTGTTTTAGATGTTGTCAGAACCGCGTGCTTCTGAGTAATTGGTGTTTTTGAAAGCCGGTGGAAATCAGAACCAATCATACCAAGATCGATCAAGTCTCCCATCCATGTTTTAAAAACATTCTTCAACGCTCCGATATTTCTGCATAAGTGCTTGTCAGCTACCAATGATATTATGTCCTTCCGTGTACTCTCATTGCGACTGTATATTCGATATGAATTTCTATGGTGAATCTATCGATCACAAGTAATGTCCTATTTATCACCATTATTATAGCTTTTTCTTCTGCATCTGGAGCGAGTTCGTTTTGAACAAGGCGTGGTCACCTGATCATATATTGAGACGTGGGTGTCCCGGTTGTA